GCGGGGAAAGGGAGTAAAGGAAGAAGAATAGAACGAGAACAAAGGGCAATACAATATATTTGCTACTTATCCGGTACAACGTTATGATGGTGAAGACGATCTACGCTGCTATCCGGTGGTGCTGATCGTTGTTGACAGTTTGGTTTGGCACGATTGGAAAAAAAATGCTACCGTCAGGGACGGCTGGGGAAGCTCGATTCCACGAAGAGCGTTGCTGGCTGCTTGTGGTATTATCAACTAGCACTATCACTTGCACACTTGCGCGATGGCGTAAAAAAACCCGAAACGGGAAAAAACACAGCTCAAGAACGACGGAGAGAAAACAATGCACGTCCGGTACGGTCAACGCTCGTCGATGGAGTGCATTGTACCGCCTGAATGGAGACAGGTCAAAGTAATAGCCATTAAAAAACCTGGCAAATCAGCGTCTGACCATAACTCATACCGTCCGATTGCTATGCTTTCGTGCATTAGGAAATTGTTGGAGAAAATGATCCTTCGGAGACTCGATCACTGGGTCGAATCAAATAACTTGCTATCAAATACACAATTTGGGTTCCGCAAGAGCAAAGGAACAAACGATTGTCTAGCGCTGCTTTCCACAGATATTCAACTGGCCTTTGCACACAAGGAGCAATTGGCTTCAGTATTCTTGGACATTAAGGGGGCTTTTGATTCAGTTTCCATTGAAATTCTGTCAGACAATCTGCACAGATGTGGACTTTCTGGAATTTTAAATAATTTCTTGTACAATTTGTTGTCAGAAAAGCAAATGAACTTTTCCCTTGGACAACTGACAACTTCCAGAATTAGCTACATGGGCCTGCCCCAAGGCTCATGTCTCAGCCCTCTTCTTTATAACTTTTACGTCAAAGATATCGACAACTGTTTGGCAGAACAATGCACGCTAAGACAACTTGCAGATGACGGTGTGGTTTCCGTAAGAGGTCCACATGCCGTGGACTTGCAAGGACCATTGCAAAATTCCTTAGATAACTTGTCTTCTTGGGCTATGAATCTAGGGATCGAATTCTCGCCGCAGAAAACTGAACTGGTAGTGTTTACTCGAAAGCGGTACCCAGCCCAAATGCATCTTAATCTTTTGGGCAGAAACATTACTCAATCATTGTCTTTCAAGTACCTTGGGGTCTGGTTTGATTCAAAGTGCACTTGGAATGCCCATATTACGTATTTGAAGCAAAAATGTCAGCAGAGGATCAACTTTCTCCGTTCAATTTGCGGCACATGGTGGGGTGCTCATCCGGGAGACCTCATAACGCTTTATAAAACAACAATTCTCTCTGTTCTAGAGTACGGCTCTTTCTGCTTTCTCTCGGCAAGAAAAAGTCACCTAATAAAATTGGAACGAATTCAATATCGTTGTCTGCGTATTGCTCTAGGCTGTATGCACTCAACGCATAACATGAGTCTCGAGGTTCTGGCAGGAGTAACACCCCTCCAGAACCGTTTCTGGGAGCTCTCTCTCAGAATACTAATCAAATGCGGAGTGACAAACACACTTATAATTGCTAATTTTGAAGAAATTCTTGGGTTGAACACACAATCTCGATTTATGAGAATCTACCACCACTACATATCATCAGATATGTGTCTTCCTTGTTATACTCCAGACCGTGTTCACTTCACCAATCGCAGTTCCTCAATTGAATATGATCTGACCATGAAACAAGCAACTCATGGGATTCCCGATCAACTTCGACCTATTATTATCCCACGTATTTTTACTGAAAAGTACCAACAAGTCAATTGCATGAAAAGATATTTTACAGACGGGTCCCGTCTCAATGGATCCACTGGCTTCGGTGTCTTCAATGAAAACTCTAGCGCCTTACGCAAACTTCAGGAACCTTGTTCCGTTTTTGTTGCTGAGCTGGCAGCAATCAACTTCGCATTGGGGATGATTTCCAATATGCCCACAGACCATTACTTCATCTTCTCGGATAGTCTCAGTTCGATTGAGGCTATTCGGTCGATGAAACAAGGTAGGCACTCATCTTATTTCCTTTCAAAGGTAAGGGAGCAGATGTGTGTGCTGGTCGAAAGATCATATATGATTACCTTTGTATGGGTCCCCTCACATTGCTCAATCCCAGGCAATGAGAAGGCGGACTCTCTCGCAAAGGTGGGCGCGCAGGAAGGCGAATTGTATGACAGGCAAATTTCACACGATGAATTTTACCATTTAGTGCGTCAGAGTACCTTTTCGAGTTGGCAAACCGATTGGGACACTGGAAATCTTGGACGGTGGTTACATTCAATTATTCCTAATGTTTCTTCGAGAGCGTGGTTTAAAGGCTTGGGCTTAAGTCGTGACTTCATTCGCGTGATGAGTAGACTTATGTCCAACCACTACTCGCTAGATGCTCATCTCAATAGAATAAACCTCGTGGACAGCAACATCTGTCGGTGTGGAAACGGTTACGATGACATCGAACACGCAGTTTGGCAATGTACGGATAATGACGCCGCCAGAGAGCGACTTTTGAATACCCTCGAGGCCCAAGGAAGACAACCCTATGTTCCTATCAGAGACGTGTTGGCAACCCGTGATCTCTGCTATATGCAGTCCGTTTATGTTTTTCTTCAAATGTCTAGTATAAGAATTTAATTCCTTTTGTCTTTTGTCTCTCTTTATTAGTTTTTGTTTGTCTTGTCCCCCCGTCTCGATGAGTCTCATCGTCGCCCACTGGTCACCCACCATAGCCGGTCGAACTCCGGACGAAGCTAGAACAGCACTACCGTTCATACTGGCGACAACGCTCTGATGAGACAACGAAACCCTACCCCAAGCTCCTCCCCTGATCCTATCCTTCGAAAATGTACCCTTCTAACCTCGAGTAAGCCGCGAGTAATCGGCCCAACTCCTACTAGACATAGAATTAAGTGAATTTTGTTACACACAGTGAACAATGAATTATCGGCTCCGTAAAGCTAACGCGATTGAGCCTCCCAAATAAACGAACTAGATAAAAAAAAAAAAAACCAAAATGCACGTATATTCAAAGTTGTTTTCGTGATATACAAACATATATACAAACAAACAATTCGTATAGAATGCAAAGAAATGGCTTATACGTACAAAAAAGGAGGCCATATACGTGCATATTTTAATTTAATTTTAAAGGAATTGATTTAACATCATATGCGATTCAATCTGTAATAACAAATTCATTTTGAAAAGTCTTACGATGTAATCCGATTTAATTTGTGATACAGTACGACGGAAAAATGAGTCATCGCATATAAGTCGGCAATTTGCATTCTATACGATTTAACTTAAACATAATGCGAGGTATGCCATTCTTATATGCGATTTTGACTTAAACTGTAGCAATTTACGATACTGTCTGTACATTGTTTTACGACTTCTGGTTGTCTGGGTGAGAGTTTTCGATGCCTGTACCATATTTGCATTAGTATAATTGTGTGGCAAGTACTCTATTTCTAAGGAATTCGAGAAATTTTCCAACCCGAAAAATTCCTGGACCGGGAATCGAACCCAGCTACCTCCAGCATGGTCTTACTTTGTAGCTGCGCCTTTACCGACTGAGCTAAGTGAGGTTTATACACATATACACGCATACATTTTCCGATCTCGTCGAGATGCATGGCCAATGAGATCAATCCAAGATTTAAGATCAGTTTACTCATAATCGCAAAAAAGTGCAGATACTCAGCGATGAGTAAATTTGCCTCATGTTTTCCTGTGGAAAACCTCAAAAATCTGCTGGAAAATGAGGAACCTTGACGAAAAATTTTACTCAGTCTAGGAGTTATACCCATAGACTGAGAGAATCCAATCTTTACTTTTCTCATATTTGAGAATGTTTTTTCTTGGAAAAACCTGGATAATCATAAGAAAAATTTACTCATCGCTGAGTTCCTGCACTTTTTTGCGATGATGAGTAAACTGAACTCAAATTTGGGTTGATCTCATTGGCCGTGGTATATGACACTCGGTTTTTTGTACCTCGGATCAGAAGTCGGTTTTCCAAGCGGTATGTAGGCATACCGTTTTTGTAAGAAGGGTAAATCTGCTGTGTTCTGTGAATCAATATGGGTCGAACTGTTAACGTTACTATACAATTAAAACATTTGCACGAATCATGTCTGTCTTTTCCTTACGGGAAGATCAAGGTTGCATTTTTGGATGACCAGGCATGTCATTTCAGGATCTTCCCTTACTTATATGCTCAGACCAAATGCGTTGATATTTCTTAAATAATATGATACACCGCGAGCGTTCACGGGTTAAGAGTATTGTATTGGGCTTGGATTTTTCATATTTCTGAAACAATCTAGAAAGTGACACATCCAGGTTTAACCCCCAAGTGTTTTTCTTAAAATAAATTGAATAGAATTAAAGTGGAATCTTCTCCAGCAAAATTATTTAGATGCACCATGAAAAATTGCAGATTGAAATATTCGAGGGAAGCAATAAAAATATCCAGGTGCCCAACATTACCAAGCTTACCTTAGGTCCAGTTGTCCGGTAGCACTATCAGTCAGTAGACAAGATTATCATTCCACGGTAGCCGTGCGTTCACTCAATTTCGGTTACAGTTTCATCCATCCTACCTTTATGGTATACCTACCATTCATAAAGCCGATTCGATGTTGTTTTTCTTCTTCTGCCAATCCTTGTGTCAGCTTATGAATCGCTTGCTACCATTTTTTATGTTGGCAGAATAGGTTGTAAACTTTTTGTTGATGTTTAGAAATACAAACGAATAGGAAAATTACAAACTTACCTAGCTACCTGTATTTCGGAACCGTGAGCAGCGGGTGACCGTATTAGGGGTAATAATTTTATTGGGTCTATAATCGGTCGAACAAATTCGTCTTTATATTAGCCGTCACACAAGTGTGAATGTGTGAATTGAAATGATGTTGCGGAAATCTAGCTAATTTTGATGACGAAAGGTGTAAAAAACTGTTCCCAGGGACCGTTTCGGAATTGTCATGTGAATAACGCGGTATTTTCAATCATAGCTTTTATTGATCATCAGTTGAGAATTTTAGCTTTATTACTGTATGAATTTGACATAAACAATTGAATTTTTGCCTCTTCCGCTTTTTTGGTTGAATGGTTTTTTGTTCTTCTTCTTCTTTGACATCCTTTCTAGTTGTTTCAATGCGAAAATATTTGTCTTACCAGTGGAAGGAGTATCATTAAACTATGTTTGCTGTAATAATTTATCTTAAGATTCAATTTTCATTATGGCTATTTACACAACAGCATGGGTTTGCACTTACTTCAGCTAGAGTAGCTTTCCATGATTATCTATTCATATATCGAAATAACAATTAAGCCTTGTTCATTTGTCTGGTTCGCTTATGTGTGTACTTTTATAAAGTGATTGATATCCCACAAATCTTGCTGGTTTCTATCACTGGGCAGAATTTTTATTGTTTTACACTTAATGTCGAGTATATCTGATCGATTGATTTTATGCCGGCAAAAGTTCACCTTGTGATCGAATTAAACATTTATTGCACATTTTTATTTCTCTATTTATAGCCTTTTGCAGAATTTGAAAGATGATAATTCTTATGCCTTAGATATCCACCTTCAGATAGACGATTCAAAAAGTTTTTTTTTTCTGTGAGAGAGCTCTGGTTTGAATAGTTTAAAGTTTACAACATTCGATTTATTATCATACATATGTAGGCTAAAGGGTCGTTACAAGTTCTAGGGCTATGAAAAATAAATAGAAAGAAGGCGGAAACAATAAATAAACGGCTGTTTCAGCTTTATGCATGAATTTTCCTAAAATCCGAATTGGCGGTAATGATCTTGCAACGTGGGCAAGATTTGGAGGATTCCTGGGGTAACAGAAAGAGAAGTTGAACATTGAATATTATTAAACATGGTGGACTCAACTCAAATGATGGCGCACTTGAATTTTAAAATATTGAGCGATATTTTTAGAATTAGAATCAAAAAGTGTCCACTTACCGTCTCAGTGATCCAACATTCCTCGCAAAGATAGTGACCGCAGATTTTCGATATGACCAATGCCTTACATTTTTCCTGTGAACAGAAACGACGAACAAAAAAAAAACAAAGCATCAAAATATTAACAATGTCCTCGATATCCACATTCTTCAAGCTAACCTTACATATGAAACATTTGTAGTGCGGTGAGCCTTCCAGTTCTCGTATTCGGGCTTTTAGCTCCTCGAGAACCTGTGCCTTGGACGAGGGTTCCGTCGGTTCCGACGTGCTGACGTACGAATCGGAATTGGGCGTAGTTCCAGCCGTCCGGATTGGCATCGAATCCGTGGCGGAGTCGATCTCCACCGACGAGGTGGCCTCTTCGGTGCTGTTTGCAGAAATTATTTCAAGTCTTAGATCTTTTTCATGACTTCTAGGATGACCGGCAGAGATCTTACCTATTCTTATCATCACGAGGTGCACCCATACCGGGGTTTCCGTTGCTGGGGTGACTACCCAGCGAAGTCAGCGTCGTTTGTCGGGGTCGCTTGATACATTCCTCATCGTCCGTATTGTCTACGATAACTTCCTCGTCGTGGTTGGTGACCATGTCCTGGCTGTGGTCGTGATCCTGTTCGTAATCGACGTCGATTCGCTGATCGCTGCTAGTTGGAGTCACTCGGGTGATCGAGTTGTCGGAGGTGGCCGTACCTGGAATGGTGATCGATGGAAACAAGAGGAATTCAAGCTTCACTTAAATGAAGTCTCCACACTTGCTGGTTGGCTGGGTGACTTACAGTTGAGGGGTAAGTTTAACCGATTTTTCCTATCCCAATGCGGTACAATTGAACTAAGCGAAGTGATGGCACTTTCTTCCATTGGAGGAATCTTGGTCATCGGAGGATCGGACTTCATTGGCGGATTGTTGTTATTATTGTTATTGTGATGACTACTGTTAGTGTGATGAATCACATTAGAGGTCATATTGATAGCTCCATTCGACGTTTCGTCACCGTAGCTTTCCACGTCAACAGTTTCATCTTCGTCCTGAGCCGAAGATTGATTGCTCTGCTGATGTTGGTGCTGTTGTTGCTGTTGGTGCTGATGCTGTTGCTGAGAAATGTAAAAATCGATTTCAATCACCTAAATTAGATTTGGTCGGGCACGACGACACTAACCTTCCTAACACATTCCTCGATGTGCTGTGCAATTTCCTCCTGCGTCCTCTGTAGCCGTCCATGACACACCGGACAGGACTGACAGTTGAGGTTCCCCAGTTGGATGCCGAATCCATCTTCGCCGTCAAATTTCCGCTTCCGCAATTTACCCCGGAGGCGATCCTGACGCTTGTTGCGAATATTTTTGAACGTCTACGTGGGAGAGATAATCAAATTTGGAAATTGTTACAATTGCATTCCACGGAAATGAGGGTGCACTGCAACTTACTTCCCACCGGCTGGTGCGCCCCTGAAGGGTATTTTGCATCGCGTGCATATCGACACTCAGGGTTCGCCGCAGTTCCAGGCGTTCCGCTGCTGAGCTCATTTTGGTGAGTCGTGTCAGTTCGGCCGAGAAATGGGTCTCTAGGTCACTTGGTGCAAGCTGGATACCACAGATAGGGCAGGAATTGGGTGGAGGCGTTCCTACGAAGGATTTCTTTGGGGGACCGATTCCTGCAATTGAAAGAATCGCGAATACTCATTAGAAATGGAAAACAAATCATTATTTTTGTTTAAATCAAATAAATTTGCTTTGCTTGGTAAATGCATATTCAATTCTACGCTCTGCGGTAAAAGTCAATCAGTAACTAGCAGTTCACATTGGAAGCCCTTCTGTCCATTGAATGCTGATTCATGATGATGTTTTCAACCACGTCGTAATTACCGGGAAACCTAAATTTTTAATTAAAAGTTAATCTGTTTTTAATATCCGATTATCACACTTGGTGGCAACCGGACAATGAATGATGAATAGTTGGCGTACCCCTGGCTTGATATGACATGAAACTTCTGAAAAATGCTAGATGCAGTACAAAAACAAATGAACAACTCGCCATGTGTGCTGAAAAAAAAATCATAAACACTGTCACAAATGCAATCCCATGTGGATGCTTAAAATCAAATGACTAAAACACGCCAATTACAGGTGACCGCAAAAAGTGTTCTCTAACCCCAACCGACGGCATTTTTCCACCACTCCAACCGAGGGACAGTTTTCTGCGGTTGATTTTTCAGCTCTACCCTCAGACAACTCTTGCGCTCCATATGTCCAAACTGGAGGGAAGGTGTGATTTCACTCCAATCTAATCTGCTGCTTTTGGCACCGAATTTAATGAAAAACTGACCCCTCTCAATTTTGAACTGACATTTCTGGTTGGAAGGATCCAACATACGCTTCAACAGTGCCACATGAATGTTTGCACATGAAGCACGTGTTTGTACGTACATAGCAGAGATATCTCCATCAGGATTGTTAACAGCAATTATCGTAATCGTCTTTGTTGATGGGTGGTGATGGTGGTACGTGTTCCACCCAACCACTATTGGCTCTCCACATAACACAATTTACACGAAATACGATTCTTTCGGATTAGCATAGTCGGGAATAAATCTAACGTGAAAGTGTTTTATGTTCCAGACCATTTGTACATTTGTTCGCATAGTGTTTCCACACTCCCTGGGCTGCCTAATAGGTTCCATGAAGGGTAGGGAAGTAGTAATCTGTCGTTCTGGAAAACCACTGTAGCCACTGAAAATTTTATTATTTTTCCTGTTCAGGATGTACACACTTGTTTCCTGCACCTACAGACATGTGTAATTACGTCTCGTCGGAAGGAAATGTTTGTCGTATGTGAAACTGTAAAATCTATTATTCATTTTTGAGTAACTTTTTATCATTTGTTATGTTGGCTTACATTGCATCTATCGAAATGTGATATTTGCTATGTAATATTTTGTTTCTGTTTCGAAACAAACTACCAAATCGGTGAATCGGTAAAACCTCTCACTCTGCGACTTGGCACACACTAACTATAAAATTTCAATTTGGCAATCGGAAGAGACACTTGCATGTACAGCATTATTCATCCGCCCCTAGACCCCGGTTCTCCTTCATTCATGGCATGTGTATTGAAGCATGTCGTTTCGGGAGCAAATTCAAGTGCAAAATGAAATGGAGAATTAATCTTCTTCAAGTGGGATTTGAATGAAATACCGAATCGAATTCAGAAGACAGTCGAAAATGTTGCAACGCTTGTGAATCTGGTTCTTTGCAGGTGGACCGAACAAAGGTGGCGTTGTTAATGTTGGTTTTAAATTTAGAGACGGTGTCTCTGGAAGAAAAACTTATTTAAACAAAATCAGTATTTTTGAAACACCTACCAAACGAAAGCATGGGGTCACTCCTTGCATTTGAGAATAGTATGGAAATGTTCCATCGGGGGGTCTAGAGCATTTTTTATTAATTTCGTATTTTTTAGTGTAAATCACGTCCACAAAAACAAAGTCTCTTGACCACAGAAGCCCAAAAATTTATGGAAACATGTCCCCGATAGAACATTTTAAAACTAGATACTGATTTTTTTTTATGATAATGTTATCCTACCAGAGACACCGTGGTAGATATTTGGAACGGGACTTGACAATCGGGTATCGATTTCGAGCCTATTTGCTGTCAAATCCAAGCCAGTTTCTGATTGGTCGATTTGACAGTAGCAATCGTGGAATAAAAAGGACAGAGGGATCACATCAATCTGACTGGCAGTGATGCCGGAATCAATATTGACGTCAATGGCGTTGTTAATTGTTTATATTTGCAAAAGGAAAGTTGGAAAATAAGGTCCACGGTGTGTTTTAAAAGATGGATATTCTCGTTTGTTTATGGTTGATTTTATTGTGTTAAGCAAAAATGATGTACTAGGTGCTAAAATGCGGTAAAAACTCCGAATCAAATAAAAATAAAAATAAAAAAATCCTGGCATCATTGGTCAACTCCGTCAAACATCATGTACTAATTTCTGACGGGAATTCATCAAAAACATTAAGAAGAGGGAGAAGCAGGATTTTCAAGTCCCGTCCGGGGGTAGAGCACTAACCTATTAGCATAGAGTTAACTCTAAGACCAGAAGGTCCCCAAGAAACGAGCTCAACTTTTTGGCTCAGCTCTGGTACTATCTTCGGTCCCAAGTTAATCGATTCACCCCTCGAAACATAGGAAAAACCAATAACCCCTCACTTTATCTGTCAAACTTTCATAGCGAATTAAAACAAACATTGCGTAGTACTAGAATTTTGACTAGAATGGGGTACGTTAATCGTTTGCTTGGGACCAATAGGCTAGTCAAGTAGTGAGCCAATTTAAAATCGTTAGTTTCGTATTGATTGTTGGTATTAGTGAGTGAAATGAATTATGTCGAAAAAAAATAGGTAAAAGGTTGCCGGACTGGACTTGAACCACGAACGTTGCGATTAGCAGACCTGTGCTTTCTCCACTGCTCTCTCCATGCTTCTGAATATGGACAGTCTAAAAGAAAACAGCAAGCGCTCATTTCCTCTCATACTCGACTTCGTATGCTTTTTCTGCTGGAGAGATTCGAGACAAGTGTGTGCGTCGTTCTACAATGTTATACATAAAAAGCTTACTGGTATAGTCGAAAGCGTGGATAGAACACGAAAAAAAAACTAAAAATTATTACATCGCTTGCAAGGTCAACTTCTAACATTCGCTGGGATGTTCATGAACTGAGGATGATAGGAAGTGGAACTAACATTCATTGTAATAAACTTTTGGTTTGTGTGTAGAAACATTTAATTTATTGTTAAAACCCGTTCAAGAAAGAGAGGTAAAGGGTGGGTTGTGCTTAGTAGGACGGAAATTAGATCAAAAACGCTATACGTTCAAGAGAAAAAAATATGGATTAATTTCAATAATTGAGTGAAATGGATAATAGCAAACATCTCCACAGATTTTTACCCTTCTTAAACGCTACTATAAATCAAGAGTAACATTACAAGATGTAACCGTATAAGTTGATCAAATTCAAGACATTCATTACGATTCAAATGAGGGATATAAGGTCGATCTAACCCCGCTTTCCCCTATTTTATTGTATTGTCCGTGGAAATCTTCGCTCGAAGGGATGTACGATCGATAAAATGGGGTTAATTATAAGAAAAAATCTCTGGAGAATGGAATGAAAGTAGTTTCGGTCACCGCAAGGCTCTGTGAATGAAATTATGATAGATTTTACCCCGCTTCCTTCTATTTTATAGAATTATACATGCATATCTTGGCTCGGAGGGATGAACGATCGGATAAAATGGAGTTAATTACATGTAAAATATCTGGAAAATCAAATGCAACTGGTTTCGTTCACAGCAAAGCTCTGTGAATGAAGTTATGGCCGAATTTACCCTGCTTTCCCCTGTTTTATTGAATTATTCATGGATATCTTGGCTCAGACGGCTGTATGATCAATAAAATGGGGCTAATCCTACGTAAAAATCTCTGCAAAATCGAATAAAAGAGGTCCCATACACCGCATTTTTCTTAGTCGTTTATGGAAATTATTTTTTAATAGCTTATAAGAATACTAGCTGAGTGTGCCTGGCCTTGCTCGGGATTCAATATTAGCTTTGGTTTATGCGCCGATTAAAAAGAAAATCCTGCTATATTGTACGTAGCCCCCTTCCCCTCTTATCTAAGGGGCTACCCCCTATGAATACTGTACCTCTTATGCTGAACATACATACTCACAAACATTGTCTTTTAAATACATGCCGTAACACGGGGTATCTTTGATAATGCGGGTAACTTTGATAGCATAATATAAAGATGAAATTTACTCGCTGCGCTTTTTCTAAATTAGAAATATTGGTTCCATATTGTAGCTTAGGGTATTTCCGTTGATATCGTGTATAATTTTTATATGGTGTATGTTATATATTTTACAAACATATTAAAAGGCAATTTTCGTATTTGTCGCCTGTTTGAAACAGCACTCAAACCATCACTTATGAAATATATTTCCGATATAGTCATCACAAATTCAATGTTGTATTCTTATTTCCTATGATGTTTTCTGATTCAAAGTTCCATATTTTAAGAACTAAAATGTTTGAGTTTCACGCACTTTTCGGCACCTTTCGGCCACAAAACTAAAAAAACATTGCTGCAAAAATATTTAGAATATACTTTTAAAAATTATCAATGCTACCTCGTTTTACGGTACCAGAAAGGGGAGGGGTCTTGAACCACCATAGAAACATTTCTTGACTTTATAAACCTCCACATGCCAAAATTGGTTCCATTTGCTTGATTAGTTCTCGAGTTATGCAGAAATTTCTGTTTGATTTGTATGGGAGCCCCCCCCCCCCCCTTGCAGAGGGGGAGGGGTCTCAAACCATCATAAGAACCTTTCCCGGCTCCTGCATACAAATATTCACGCCGATCAGGTCAGTAGTTTACGAGTCTATAAGGGTCCGACAGACAGACATATAGAAATTCATTTTTATATATAGGTAGGGGAAATGGATGTAATGTCAGCCTAAATGCCCCTAATTTGGGCCCATACATAAATCCAGCAATCGACTAAATTTTCAATAGCGACCAAAAAATATCCAGTAGTACCGTCCCAATGACGCGTTCATCTAGATAAAATTGATAAATAGCAGAT